TTTTAAAACAAAGATGCCCTTGCCAACGTGCGGCAGAAAGCAAGCCTGCTCACAGATTCTGGCTGCGCACTGGGAGCCAGGGCCAGAATTTAGATTGGACTGGGTCCATTTTCATTTGTGCATTTGTCTTTTTTTTCCTTGTTTTGCTTTATTTTTCTGAGCGCTGAACACTGGGACCAGCAACTCTCCAAACAATCCAGTGATATCACCTTTGAGTGAGTCATGGGGAGGGCAGGGTGGAGAAGTGCAGACAAGGAAAAATCATGAGATTGTGTTCACTTAAACAACCAAAAAAAAAAAAAAGGGATATGTGTTTGGATACGTAGGGGGGAGATTGCATGCACTAGCCAGCCAACACAGGGTGTCGTGGCTTTGGGGAGCATGCCCATGGCTTCAGGTATCTGTAGCTAGATGGGTTTTTCCCCAGATATGAGCAGCATGACCTTACCTAGGAAAAAACTATTCAGAGAACACACCTTTCACTGGCTCAACTTTTGTACACCCCAAAAAATGAAATTCAATCTTCAGATCATGTTTAGACTGCATTTCCAGTCACTTTGCACGGTGGGGACAGGCTTTCCCTGAGCTCACCTTCAGCTTTCTTAATTTCTTAATGATCCTGAAGGTAAATATCTAGGGTTAGGACCTGCAGCCCGTGCTCAGACCCAGCTCTAAGATTCAGCCTCTGCAAAATGTGGAGTGACCTTTCATAAAATGCTGAGAAGAAAAAAACCCCAAAAGGACTTTCAAGCCCCCCAGCAGTATTACTATAAAGTTTTTATTTATTAGGAGAAGGCAAAGTCCTCAGCAGGATCTCCATAAGCCAATGTGGAGCCTTCTCAACAAGGCAGCAGGAAATACAAAGGACGAGGCTCTGCATCCCACCCTACCTGGGAGCATCCTACACTGAGATACAACTAGGATAAAGTGTCACTGGGTGGAGAAGGGACACCCCAGAGGTCTGTCCCTGCTCCCCAGGCTGTCTCTGTGTTTCACATGTGGATTTGGTTAGGTTGGATGGAGACTTCCCTGCTGGGACCACCACTCCCAAAGCAGAATTCCCATTCGAGCAGAGCAAGGGCAAGCCAATTCTCCTTTGTCCTCTCTCTGGGAGGGCTCTGGGATCCCAGATGCTCCCAGATGCAAGTGATCCAGGAGTCGCTGGATTGCAGTACTCAAAGTGTCACTGCTCACCACACCAAGATGTCCCCAAGGTGGGTGTCAGCACCTCCTCCTTTGGAAATTACACCAAGCTTTGACATGAAGCGTTGAGCTGGATGACCAAGAGAGATGTACAGAGGGCTGATTTAGAGTGAGTAGGAATCTGCTATACCTGATGTTTTGCTCCTATTTTCTACTTATGCACTTTAGAAGCATCCAACTCTCTTTCTTGAGCTCTTCAAGTGTCCATTACTCGGTACTGTCTTCCATACATCCTAACAACAACTGTGCTTCTTTATAGCAACTGTTAGAAAGCCCAGTCCAAAAACCCTCCTTCTCTGAATGTTTTGATGCATATTTGTCTGTACAGAAGCAAGAGCTAGTTTCTTCCATTCTTTACTCATTCCCTAAATAAGGTCCCGCAACTCTTCTTTACGTGCAGCCTCCCAGTGCCTATCGAGAGAGCATGTGCAAGGTTTCTGGCCAAGGACCCGTTTCTGGGGACTCCCTGCCTGGCTCTGTTCATCCCAGTGTGATCAAATAAGGAAACCATGGATGCACTCAGTGCACGTCTCTTCCAAGGGACACGCTTATTGGCATGGTAATGAGGATGGTAATGAGCCCCTTGTCTTCAGATGTACACGAGGTTCTAGCGGGTGAAAAGCAGCCAAAGTTGAAATTCAAGGAATTCTTAGCTTTTTTTTTTTCTCTTTCTATTTCTATTTTTTTATCCGAATGCAAAGGACAAAGCACGTAGCACACAAATTGCATTGTGCAATGAACTGCTCAACACTAGATATAAATTATTATTTTAACACTCACCACGCTGTTTAAGCAAGCACCAACCTCTTAAGTGGCCTGGAGCAAGCGGCAATTACTAGTCTCATTTCTAAAGAGATCCTTCTTTTATTTGCTTTGTTACCATAGCTTTTTGTTTTCTTTTCCTCTCAAGTTCAAAAATGCTTCATAAAGCTGCAGCTCCTCTGAGAACCCAGCGTGCTGCAAACAGGGTTCACAGCAACGGTGCAAAATAAATTGTGGTCATTATTAGCCCCATTCTTCAGTGGGGAAACTGAGGCATGGATACTCTTCCCAACAAGGGTAGGAGCAGGATTACACGCTTGACGAGCTCCTTCATCTGTGTTAGACCCAAACGCTCACACTGAGCTATGGCAGGGTGTGGTAGTTTTACACAACACAGCCGCTCGCTCACCCTCCCTGTCTCCCAGGGATCAAAGAGAAAATTAAAGGGATGAAGGGGAAAGAGACCCGTGGGTTGAGATGAGAACAATTTAATAACTAAACTACAATAATACTGTAAATAATAATAATAACAGTAATATGTACAAATATACACAAGTGATACACAGTGACACTGCTGACCACCTGATGACCAAGGCTCAGCCTGTTCCTGACTAATGATTCCAGAATAGGGTGAGTCCTAAAAACACAATCCTGGAACAGAGATAAGAGCCCAAGTGTCCGAGAGACTGAGACGACCCTGAGAGAGGGGTGACCTGGAGGGACAAAACCCAGAGCAAGCGAGAGCCCTTCTGGACAGCTCCTCTCCTCTATCCTGGCCGTGCCGTACGTGGTGTGGAATAGACCACTGGCCAGTTTGGGTCTCAGCCCTAACCCTGAGGTCGCATCCTGGGCTGGTCACTGGGGCTGTGCTCCCTCCCAGCTCCTCCTGCCCCTGCAGACACGGGCACAGCAGAGAAGCTGGAAAGTCCTTGAGTGTCCTGGCAGCAGCTCTGCCCATCAGTGTGTGATCAGCTTCTCCCCAGCACAAACCCCCACACAGCCTCACACCAGCTGCTGGGAATGAACCTTCACTCTGTCCCAGCCCAAACCAGGACACAGGGTTGAGCTGGGATACCGCAATGTCTTAGGGTTGAGAGCCAGGGAAACCCTTGCAGAGAGCACAGGGACATGGGCAGAGGCTGGTCCCTGGGCCACTCAGGGGTGGTGTTTCTGTGGTGGTTAGCATGGGATGTGGTCATTCAAGCAGCCTAGCACCAACCTGTAAATCTCACCGCAGTCCCTGAAGGAATAAACCCCTTTAACCAAACAGACAAGGTGGGGTCATTGCCTCTGCAAACCCCTAACCCCAGTGCTCATGGTTCAAAGCCATGGGCTACAACACCAGTGGCTGCTCATTAAACTGCAAACACCATTCTCTCCATGAAGCCTCCAGTTCTTGCCGGCACAGAGTCCTGCTTACCGTCCTTATTCAACGCCTCCTTCAGCACATACTGACAGCCAGCGTGTACTCCAGCCCTATGACTTGGGTTGTCCTCCAGCAGATATTTAAGCTGCATGGCTGCAGCTGTGCTTTCCCTGCCTAACCACCAGAAAATGCTGAGATCTGGCTTTAGTCTCCCACGCCGCCGTGATGGAGTAGCCCACGTACCTAATGCTGAGTCTGGCTGTAATTTCTGCATTTTTTAGGGATGGGTGTAAGAATGCTTTGCTGGAACCAGTGCTCTGGGTTTCCTGGATGATGGGTTTTCTCCAGCAAAGAACTTGGGGAGCTTTTATGTACTGTCAGTCCTGAATTTCTGGCTCTTGGCACCTGGTTTCAAGCTTTTGAACATAGGGAAAATAATAATGATATCCAGAGCTAATGTTATTTACTAAAACACAAATTAACACTCAGTCACACAGCAGCACGATTTGTCATCTAGAGCTAAAACTGAAAGAAATTAAGGCTGAGTCAGAAAGTTATTTCAGATCTGAGTAGGGAACGCTAAATGACGGGACCATGTGGGAGCAACACTGACATCTTCTGGCTGCAAAAAAAATCTCCAGCTTTTTCACCAAGAAAACCAGTGGGAACCACCAGCACAAAAGCATAAATAGGGTTTGGGGTGGACAAAAGACTTTTTTTCAAGGAGCAGATACAAGCTTGGGGTGGTGGATATTGTCTGAGCCCACTTTAAGTGTCCACCTTAGCACCTCTGCAAAATTTGAACAGAGGGTGTGTGACACTGATGACCCAAAATATGTTGAGTGTAGGAGGTAGAAAGATGTTGCTTTTCCATCAGTGCATGTGCCAGGGATACGTCCATCTTTCTATGTTGCAGTGGTGAACTGGACAGTGCAACACATAGGAAGAGGCAGGCACCAAGAACCGATCCCTGCAAAACATCTGAACAACAATTTTCTCTATCTGATCTCCACCTGTTCCCCAAAATGATGCACTCAGCCCCTGGTGAAGGGTCTCAGAAAGCAACCCAGCCCCCAGATATTGAAGATACCTCTTGGGTGCAGGTCTCCTGCATCAAGGATGGCTGAACCCACAGTGAGGGAAACAGGTTTGGCCACAGGGCTGTTGGGTCCTGCAGCAAGACGTTCTCCTCTGGAGTGCATGCTGGACTTGAGGGGTTTAGCTGGATGGTGTCTGAAGAGTCTGAAGAGAGATGTGAGAAAAATCCTCTACCCCCTCCACCCCTCATGCTCATGTAGCTGCTGCAACAATTAACAGACTCCGTCCAGGCTGTGTGGGATTGCCTCGATGGCTCACAGCTGTGTTTGAGGGTGCTGGGTCCATTGCTGGGAGCCCTTTGGCAGTGGGGGCTAAGAGAGTCCTGCCAAAGACATAGTATTATCCATCATTATCACTTTAGGGTTGGTGCCTTATAGTCCTACAGTGGCCAGGTCTTCACTCTGGTGGCAACAGCTTTGCTAGCCAAGGACCTAATAGCAGAATCACACTTTTAGCCTTTTCTGCAGGTATTACCTCTTCCAGACTGGGCTGACCACCACCCTTGCTTACTATCCTGTGCTGCCATACCCTTCCCCTTTCTCTAATCATATTTCTTTTAATCTCTTCCAAGGTTCTTTCTTCCCATCTCTGAAACCCTCTGAAATGGTCTTCAAGGTCATCTTCTGGCTGGGATACTTCAACAGCTGCGTGAACCCCATCATCTACCCATGCTCCAGCAAAGAGTTCAAGCGAGCTTTCATCAGGCTGCTCAAGTGCCAATGCCACCGGAGAAGACGGCCCATCTGGCGTGTCTACGACCACCACTGGCGAGGGGCCTCCATCAACAGCCCGGTGCCAGACTCTGAGACGGACCTGAGGCCCAGGATTAACACCCTGAACAGCTCCTTCATATTTAACTCCTCCTTGCAGGAGAGAGCCAGTAAGAGGCGAACGCTCAGCTTCAAGGGCTGGAAAATGCTCACTCCTTTCCAGAAACCAGCATCCACCCAGCTGAAGGAGAAGATGAACAGCCTTTCCAATAAAATCCGGGGTGGCTCCAGCAAAGGCGGGGTGACAGCCACCTACAAAACAGAGGTGGAGTCTGTCTCTATCGGGATCCCTCATGACTTCACGGAAACCATCGACTACCAAACCTATGACTTAACAGACTGCTGCGGGCTGAGAGAAACAGATATTTGAAGCCCCTGGGACAGCTGTCGATGGTTTCTTTAGAGGTATCTATCAGAAACATGAAGGGATACCATCTGTGGGTCTGTCAGGCAGACTGGAAGCAGCAATCAGGTATAAAATGCAGTTGCCCAAAGGTTATCCAAGCATCCGCCACACGGAGGTCAGCCCCTTCTCTGGGATTATGGGTTCCTCAGAAAAGAGCCGGTGGCATATCCCATTTTAATGAGCTGCAGCAGGAGTGCAGATGTGGGGTGGATATGGCCTTGGGAAAAGAGCTGTTTCCTCCAGTGGATGGTTATCTTAGACTTTGGAAGAAGCTGTGCAATTAAGGGAAAGCAGGGTGTCTCCTCTGCCTTAAAAACACCACCACCACCACAAAACCTAAAGGAAAGATCAGTCCCCAAAAGATGCCAACCCTGCCTTAGTACATGTGATCACGTTTCCATCCAGAGGCAGCACCCAGAAAGGATAACAGATAGATAATGGATCAGGAGCTTGCAGGTCTACAGGGCTGGGCAGGACCTCCAGGAGAGGCCTTTGCTTTGGATGGTGAGCAGACTGTGGTATTCCCAAGCAGGGTGGGGGAATCATGGATCTCAGCCATCATGTCTGCAGTGATTACAGCTTTGCCCCTTCCATATCACTTGGTTTTAGGCCAGAGGATTAGTCTGGATGTATATGCTGATGCCAATGGATGTGCAGGTCTCTCTTCTCTCAGTTCCTCGGGTAGATGCATCTTCTCCCCAGTCAGGGCTGTGCCCATGACTCTTCTCCCAAGTGGCTTCCCACATCCCTGATATATCAAAGCCTTCGGTGGCTATCAACTGTTGCCCTTGATTATGTCAAAAGCAAAGTCAACAAGGGGGGATTTTTGCCCTCCTCACAGCCCCAGAGTGCTAATTCAGTCAATGAACCACAAAGAGATATTGCTAGATTTAGGCATGGGAAGAGGCACAAGACACACATGCGATGGAGGCCAAGTCTAGATCTGAGGGGTGGTGTCACCAGCCAGGTGAGCAAAAGGAACGTGAAGACAAGGGGTGGAGATATGACACTGAATGTGTCCTGGATGGAAACTCATCCACATCAGCACTGTCCCCAAGACCCATTAGGAGTCTTTCATTAATGTGCCTACAGCACATCTAGCTCATCCTCTAGAGGGTGGCTGTCAAAGGAGATGAAAGGCTCCTGGGCATAGCAAAGAGAATGTCACCATTTTTTCTCCTGTTCATGTCCGTCAAATGAAATCGAAACAGAGGAGAAGTAGGACTTCTTTTATTTTTTACTTTTTTGCACGGGGCATACTGAGACATGGTATCTGGAGTTGGCCTGTCTCAACACCCTTAACACTTTTCTGTCCTTTACTCAATGCAAGACTCTGAACTGGATGAATTACTGTACAACGACCTGCAGATTTTGTCCAATTTTTTTCCTCCCAGCAGCAAATCCCACCAAGGCACATGGGCAGCATTGCACTTACACTGAACCTAGGCACATCACTGCCTGCACCTTCGCAGGTGATGACAAGTGTTTGCAAAATCAGCCAGAGTTCTCCAGCCTGAGAGGTTCAGCCCCACCAAAGCAAGGGCCCAAGTACCCCATGGGAACAACGTTCCCATCTTTTTTTTCCCCATTTTTTTGGCTTTCAAGGGAAGTGAGATCCTATAGTGATGACGAGGTGACACAGACTGTCATTTTGCGGTGTCAGGTCTGCAGCTGCCCCTGGTTTCCTGGGAGTTTTTGGGATCCTGATAGGCAAGGACACTGCTGGCACTGGGGACATAGCAGAGAATCAGGGAGAGAACGGTGGCTGAAGAGCAGAAATGCCTGGAAGGTCAAGGTGAAGGCATGACCCCTCCCACCTTCCACCCACCTCTTGGGATGCTCGTGCACAAATGGCGCTGTTGGAGGGAGTGAATGCACCCAGACCTGCATTTTTCGCCCCTGGCGACACCGCTTTGCAGGTCTAACACATGCAAGTGCAAAATGTAAGAAATTTGGGGGCACAGTTTAGGACCAGCTGATACAGATCTCATCAGAAGTTATAGTCACAGGGAAGATGGACATTTGCCATTAAATGCTCTCTGGTGCTCAGGAGCAGATTTATCTGATGTCTCTCCACAGCCAGAGACCCATAGCATACGGTAACGTGTGCATCCACGACCATACAGACACACATACACACTTTACTGCATTTACATATATAAATATCATCTCCAAAATGGCAAACGTTCTCCTATAAATGGAGACTTTGCAGGGGCTTTTGCAATTGCTGGAAAGCACTTCATTCCCAAGAGCGGGTTGAAATTATTGCTTGCACTTCTCCCTAATCTTTTAAATAGACTTCTTTCTTTTTTTTCCAATTTTAAAGTATTTACATTTACAGCCTCCAGCTCCCTTGAAAGCATCCAGAAGGGAAAGAAAGATTAATCTGGGGGTTTACCTGCCCTGCCACCCCAATTCTACAGGGGAGAAAATGAGGATGAAATCTGTTTAAGTACATATACGCATACACACACATAAATGCCCAAACTTTGGCTCATTTACTTTCCTCCCTTGCAGCTCTGCCTGCACCTGATCAGTCCCCAAGAGATACCCTTGAAGGTGCTGTAGGAAAGTCTTGAGCTCTGCTGGGCTGCATTCAAGCAAAATATTTGTTTCTTACCTAAGCCAGGGCTCATTTTTATTCAGCATCTTGCATCAGAGGAGGCGATGCCAGGACAGGACTCTTGAGGCTCTACATGTAGAACTTCATTTTGAGTAGACAGGGCTGCCTTTGCTGGCAGGGGAGGAAGGAAAATGTTGTATGAAATACAACCTGAGGATCTGAAATTGTGCGTTTCCCTCCGACTCCCTTAATCTCCAAGATCTCCCAAGTTTGGAAAAACAGGCTCAGATCTTCAGGAGGTCAGTTTGATCTGATCCCACTGAATTCTCTGGACACACAAGGGTGTGACCAGCCGAGGGTATGTCCCTGTTTCTCCAAACTTGCCAAGCAGCCCATTGCCCGAAGCACCCGTACTTTGGTTATCCAGCAGCTCTCACCTCGTCGCGCTGGCTTTGTGTCACCATTGCATCGTCAGACCTTGCTGCTTTGATGAACCAAGTGTGCAGGATGGTGAGCAGCAGCTTTCATGTCAGTAGACTCTCACAAGTCCTATTAGAAGGGGAAGGAAGGTCCCTGTCAGCCTGAGCTGGACCGCAGTTGGGTTGCATTACTATTGTTTACAGTGTGTATATAAGTGTACATTTTCTTTAGCAGACATCGGAAATTTTTTATGTATAGATTTTTATTTTTCATCCCCAGATGTATTTATTAGCCAGAGTATTTCTGTTTTGTGATTCAAGTTCTGTCGGATTGATGTAAGCTCTATGAAACAGAATGCACATATTTTTGTTCGTTTGTACCAAATACATGCACAAACCTGTCTAAAACATTGCTGTGAATTGTTCCTGCGTCTGATTTTTTAAAACACAGGTTGTAGGGGATGAGGGAGGGAGGAAGACTCAAAGGCCTTTTTGTAATTTCACAAGGATAATCGCTCCCACATCCAAGAATTTATGATAAAAACAAGTCAGAAGAGGATGCTCAGCTTTGTGCCTCACAGGGATGAAGGGGTTGCACCAGCCGTGCCTTTGCCCAGATGCTCCCTGGAGCAGGCAGGGATGAAGGGGTTGCACCAGCCATGCCTTTGCCCAGATGCTCCCTGGAGCAGGAGGAATCTGGATGCAGCCATGACCCATGGGTATGAAGGAGGGCAGGAGGAGGGAAGGTTGATATGTAGTCAGTTGTCAGGAACAAGATCTGGTGAAAGAATTTCCGTTAGAGTAATATTTTTTAATGAAAACTGAAATTTCAGCTCATTGAAGATTTCTCTGGAAAGTTTTCATCTTTCTTCTACAGTTAAAATTCCAGCATCACTCACAAAACCCCTACCCATGGTGAAATGGAAATAGCATTTCTTACGCTTCTGTCTCACTCCAGGTACACTCCATTTCACAAAACGCAGCCTGATGGCACCTCTAGGTACTGGGCAGTGGTGTCTCAGGGCTGGGTATCACGAGGACTCCCAGCTGGGAAGCCCAGAGGGGAGAAGGTCAAAACAAAACATCTGCAACACCTATAGGATGCTAGAGCAATATCATATAGCAGAGTCTGAAATGCAGTGAGGGCAGAAACAGAGCTCTGAAAACATCCAGCAAGTATCCCAGAAACATTTCTTTGCAAAACTAATGACCAAACACAGCCCAAGGCTGGATGTCCTTCAGGGATGGCTCCAGGCAGAAGTAAAGCCAGCAGCCACCAAATGCAACTCACCAGCTCCAGGGAAAGATCGTTATGACTTTGTCATGCATCCTGTTAATGCTCATGTGTGGTTGAGTCAGACTGATGCTGGGAAGGGGGACGGATGCTGTGTTCCCTGGAGAGCCTGCAGCAAAGGATGCTCTTGACTGATGGTGCTCATATTTTTTAAAGGGACTTCTTTCCCTTCTCTGCGACTGTCAAGCCAGGCTGCTGCTCTGCTCAAATGCCAGTACAAAAGCATTAGGTGCTTTGCTGATGACTTCTCCAAGGGTATGATAAGAAAGACCAATGCCATGGCCATGGCCATGAGGACCACCTCTAAAATCTTGGTGATGACTATCCAACTGAGTTCATTACTGTTTTTCTTTTCTTTCTTTTTTAATTTCTATTCAGGTTTGAGGAAAGCCACCACTTGGTACTTAGGTTGCTCTTAGCTCCATGATGGACTTGTCACCATTTGAGACTCAATATTTGCTGAGCTGCAGTATTTTGAACCCAGTGCACTGGAGCTAAACCTGGGCAGAGCCTGGACACTGCCTGGCAGGTTGGAGCACCAGTATACTTTTGGGGATGGCTTCTTTGTTTAGCACCCCTTCCCAGAGAAGCGAATCACAGAATCATGGAATCACAGAATGGTTTGGGTTGGAAGGGACCTTCAAGATCATCGAGGTCCAACCCCCTGCCATGGGCAGGCACACCTCCC